AACCTATTCCACTGCCAGCTCCAGTCTATGAACAACCCCCTGCACCAGAACCGGTTGCAGTGCCAGCTCCGGCCTATGTTCAACCTCCAGCACCTGAACCTATTCCACTGCCAGCTCCTATGAACCAAACCCTGCACCAGAACCGGTTGCTCTACCAGCTCCGGCCTATGTTCAACCCCCTGCACCTGAACCTGTCCCACTGCCAGCTCCAGCCTATGAACAACCCCCTGCACCAGAACCGGTTGCTCTACCAGCTCCGACCTATGTTCAACCCCCAGCACCTGAACCTGTTCCACTGCCAGCTCCAGCTTATGAACCAAACCCTGCACCAGAACCGGTTGCAGTGCCAGCTCCGGCCTATGTTCAACCCCCAGCACCTGAACCTGTTCCACTGCCAGCTCCAGCTTATGAACCAAACCCTGCACCAGAACCGGTTGCAGTGCCAGCTCCGGCCTATGTTCAACCCCCAGCACCTGAACCTGTTCCACTGCCAGCTCCAGCTTATGAACCAAACCCTGCACCAGAACCGGTTGCTCTACCAGCTCCGGCCTATGTTCAACCCCCTGCACCAGAACCTATTCCACTGCCAGCTCCAGTCTATGAACAACCCCCTGCACCAGAACCGGTTGCACTACCAGCTCCGGCCTATGTTCAACCCCCTGCACCTGAACCTATTCCACTGCCAGCTCCAGTCTATGAACAAACCCCTGCACCAGAACCGGTTGCACTACCAGCTCGGCCTATGTTCAACCCCCTGCACCTGAACCTATTCCACTGCCAGCTCCAGTCTATGAACAACCCCTGCACCAGAACCGGTTGCACTACCAGCTCCGGCCTATGTTCAACCCCCTGCACCTGAACCTATTCCACTGCCAGCTCCAGTCTATGAACAAACCCCTGCACCAGAACCGGTTGCACTACCAGCTCCGGCCTATGTTCAACCCCCTGCACCTGAACCTATTCCACTGCCAGCTCCAGTCTATGAACAACCCCCTGCACCAGAACCGGTTGCACTACCAGCTCCGGCCTATGTTCAACCCCCAGCACCTGAACCTGTTCCACTGCCAGCTCCAGCCTATGAACCAAACCCTGCACCAGAACCGGTTACTCTACCAGCTCCGGCCTATGTTCAACCCCCTGCACCTGAACCTATTCCACTGCCAGCTCCAGTCTATGAACAACCCCCTGCACCAGAACCGGTTGCACTACCAGCTCCGGCCTATGTTCAACCCCCAGCACCTGAACCTGTTCCACTGCCAGCTCCAGTCTATGAACCAAACCCCGCCCCAGAGCCAGCACAAACACTCGTACCTCTTTCTGAACTACAATTTCCTGAGATCCGTGTAGCAGCTTATGTGCCTCCTGTACCTCTACCTTCAAAGCTGGAGTCTTTACCGCCACTTCTTCCTAAGCCTGAACACGTTCGGGAACTTGCTTTTATCCGAAATCCAACGTCGTCTAACGATGTAACAACGGAGCAACCAACAGTGCCACCAACACCTCCGCCTACTTTACCACCAATCACAAATCCTCCTGCACCGGTCACTTTTCCTCCTGTAACGATCACTTATCCCCCTGTACCAGTCACATATCCCCCAGCACCGGTAACTTATCCTCCTGAGCCAGTTACCTATCCCCCAGCGCCGGTAACTTATCCTCCTGCACCGGTCACCTATCCCCCAGCGCCGGTGACTTATCGCCCGAACCCTGTAACACTACCGCCTGGATACTTATGGGTGGACTTCCAATGCAAAGGAGATGGTTACTATGCAGTCGCTAACGAATGCGATACCTTCATCGACTGCAATGTAAGCTAAAACTTTTTTTATCAGTTTTCATAACTGTTTTTTGTTAATTTCTGTAAATTTAATACCTATATTAATGTTTTTTATCTCATTGCAGCACGACAAAGCATATAAATACTTGTGTCCTGATGGTCTGCACTTCAATCCTGCTGCGAAACGTTACGAATATCCTTGCGCTTATCCATCAGAAGTGAAATGCGTAGCTGGTGCCGTAGAACGTAAGTACTTACTCATAGACGCTGTCTAAATCTAATATTAAGTATGTGTAAAGGCTAAAATCCAACTAAAAACTTCATCTAAATACCTATACCATTTTTTTAATATTTAATATTTCTGTGTTCATTTCAGAAATTCCAAAGGCTACCGACCAATGTCCCAATCAATACGGTTACTACGCGATTGAAAACGGTGACTGCAGCAAATACATCATGTGCCAAGAAGGTGCAGCTATTGTCATGGAATGCCCCATGGGTCTGGTATTCAACTCTATAATAAGCATCTGTGATTGGCCCTCAAATGTACCACAATGTAGCCCGGCTGGTAAGATATAATTGACAATAAATTTGTGTTAAAACCTTTACAAATTTACTATAAAAGATTTTAAACAATTTTTAGTGTTCAAGGACTTCGTCTGCCCTGATCCCCCTAAAGACAATGATGGACTAGTTTCTGATATCATCTACAAATACAGGTAAAATATGATTTGGTCTCGTTTGTATATGATATGGCTGCTTTCTATGTATGTATGGCTTAAAGTCCTGTGTCCTAGAAGGAGCAGAGGACGTCCGAAATTCTTCCTCTTTATCACGTATAACTTGGTGGAAATTTTTTAAATATATTTTTCTATTACAAGGTTCGGGAATCAATGTAAACAGTACATCGCCTGCCAACTGGGCCATCCTCGACTTTTGAGCTGCGATGGTGGACTCTCATTCGACGAAGCATCACAGTCGTGCATCGATGAAGATTACGTCAGATGTGAAGCTCCCAATGCACAGGAATAAAGACCGTCTAGAAGGGCACAGTAAATTGACACCATAAACAAGATCGACTTACTTATAAGTAGGACTGAAATTAATGTATCTAGGTAAATAAAATATTAAATGAAAATTATAATGCAAATATTGTTTCTTTAAGATTTGAGGTTTTAATAAAGATAGAAAATCATCAAATAACTTCATTAGAGTGTTAGGGTTACGTATTAAAGCCACTCTGTTTTAACTCCTGCTCTGCTTCTCCTGCCCGTGATATTATGTCAACCATAAGGTACATATTTACAAAAAAATGAAAATGTAATAAAACATATATTGAGTATATGTAGATAGTAGACACTACATTCTTTGTGAAAAAAAATGTGGTTAATGTAGCACGTAAGATTTTTGAAACAATTAATTTTGACTGTAAAATATAAGAAAATGTAATTGAATGACAAGGGCACGGACAAGAGTCCGTGGAAAAAAAGAAATCTAATATATAAAATGCTCATGCTCATGCTCGTCGGTACTCTCGTCCACATCGCGTCGCGCCGAGCGAAATTCATGGTATTCACGAACTTTTCGGTCTCAAAGATTATAGGAAACTAAGTAAATAGAACTGCTCTATTTAAGAGTAGGACTATTTATTAAAAAATCGAATTAATGAGGCTCAGATTACCCATTAAGTTTACAATTGATTTTTGTATTTTGTAGCATTGGATCAGGGACAATTCTAGGCATAACGTTTAGATTACGAAGCTTAGCATAATAAAAAGCATCGTTTATAATGTTTTCGCAGTGTATTGCGACATTGGAGGGAAGGCTTCTCATTTTTTTTTTGTCACATATTGCCTAAAATTTGCATATTTTCGTCGCTCCATGGGGTGTTAGTTACCTATAATATAAATCTTCCGATGGATTTTGATCAGCCCAGCATTACCCACAACACCGGCAGGATCACACACTATTGCAACATTGTGAGCCATGTTAGATACTGCGCAATCATTTCCGAGAAAAAAGCCCTCTCAAAAATAATAGCGCAATCAAACAGTGGCAAGCATAACTATGCATAATCAAAAACAGATAAAAATATTATTTTCCCAATTTGTATCCTATAATGAACGCAGGATAATTAATAAAGTACCTATGTAATTAACTTTACATTAACAGTTTTATTAAACGAAGCAGTCAATATCTGCGCAGTGCACAGGTACCCTAGGTATATTTTGACACTGCACCTAACTTAAATAAATAAATTTTTGTTGGACTCCAAACTTTTAGCTCCACTGTGCGATACAGAGAGGCTTATATTTCAAATCATTAGCAATAGATGTTGAAGGTAAACAGTCACTAAAGCCGCAATCGATACGCTTGCATCACTAGAGAAGCATCGCCAACACAAATGTGTTAGGTACTGGATATCGATTAGTTAGAAGTGCCATCATTTTCGGAGAGCTCCGGATTATAGCCTGGCAGCACTTGTAGTTTGGGGTGGTTTTGGGAGTTGGAGACTGACTATAAATAATGTTGTGATAAGTTCAAACTTAATTTCGACTGTTAGTAAACTACTAGTTATTAAATGATTTTAATTTTTATATAATTATACAAAAGAAACATAAAAATCACGAGACAATGAAAAATATTTTAACATCTGGCAATATTTTGGTATTAGTAGTTCTATTCTATCTCAAATGCTAGCAATAATACTTCTCAACGTTGATTGGTGGAATTCGTTGCGGAGCAAAGTCTACCAATGACAAACGTTTAATGAAGATTTGTAAAATGAAAACAACTAATTCCATATTTCCGCCAAAGAAGCGCGGTTTTAGTAGCAAACAATAATTCAAATTTGAATTTTTATAAATTAGGTATATCATTGTATGTTATCCTCATGGCGATCTCACATACAAGTTTATTTTTACTTTCGATGAGATTATTTAAAAGACGAAGTGTCGAGTGTTGATTATGATGACGGAACCAACGGCAAATACCGCGATACATTCCGCTAGCGCAGCCCTGGCGGACATCGCCCCAGTTGCCCCTTCGGATCGAGCGGTTGCGTAGTCACGACACACGACCGTAGCCTCTGAGCCCCAATTATTTTTTACATCAGTGTGTTCCTAAAGTGAATTTTGAAACAACAAAAACAATATAAAGTCGATATCCTGTCAATAGTGTTATCTCAGCGATTTTATTTCTCTGATGTTTAGTTGTGCACAAAATGGAAGATTCTTACATTATCGCTAATTTCCACACGCTATGTCGACTGTGCCTGAACAAAAGTACGTTCGCGACATCGATATTCGCAGCTGTGCCTGACGACGAATCAAATGTTTCTTTAACCTCCAAACTAGCTGAGTGTTTCGAGTTACAGGTAAGCTGTACATTATCTTTTACGTTTTTAAATAATTTCTCAAAGAACTATCGTATCTATAACGTCCAATATTATTTCAGATCGATCCTAACGATGGGCTGCCTAATAGGATTTGCTACAAATGCTTGTTCAAAGTTGATAAATGTTCAAAATTCAAGCTTCAATGCATTCAAAGTGAGACCAGATTGAGGCAAATAACTACAAGAGCCAATGAACTGGATAACTCTAATTCATCAGAACTTAGTAACTATAACTATGGCTCCCATTCTCAAGATGGTCCAAAAGTAAAACCTGAAGATTACATTGTTGAAGACAGTGTTGTGATGGTGGTGGATCCAAGCCTCGACTATGACTCCTCAGAGGAGTCTGAGATCATGGAACCAGTGGAGCCAGAGGTAATTGAAAGGAACAATACCCCAGATGGTGAGCCAATGGCAGAATCATTTTTCAAAAATGTTTTCATGTGTCAATTCTGTGACCAAGCTTTTGTTTCACAAGAGAAATGTAAAGAGCATGAACACAATTATCATGACCCTAACTTACCTTATAAATGTGTTGAGTGTAGTCTAGTCTTTGCTGAGCGTAGTCAGTATGTACAGCATACTAAACAAGTACATGGAAATGATAAACCTTACCACTGCCCTGAATGTGATAAGTGTTTTGGCCGACGTTCTGATTTGAGAAAGCATTCCATTGTTCATACTGGCATTAGGCCATATCAATGTCAATATTGTTTGAAAAGTTTCTCCCGTAACACAAATCTCAGTAAACACCTTCGTATTCATGCTGGGCATAAACCTCATGTTTGTCCCCTTTGCCCAAGAAGTTTTGTTGCCAAGGGTGACTTGCAACGCCATGTACTTGTTCATTCAGGAATGAAGCCCTTTCCTTGTCGAAAATGTCATTTAAGTTTTGGTAGGAGGGATAAACTAATCAAGCATGAAATGAGACACGGCCCATTAAGCCCGGGCAAGACAGAGTATGATCATGATCATGACAGTCATGACATGGTAGTAAATGTAAACCCCTTCAGCAATCTCATGACTTCTCCTACACAGCTCCATCCAGACTCTTCAAATGCTGAATATGATCTTCCAAGAGTACCAGATCATATTTCAGGGGAGAGCAGTTTTATGAAAGTACAGAAAAATACTTCTGCTTCTTCTAAGACCACACAATCACCACCGAAACAGAAAGCTGTGACAAATAAAAACAAACCTAAAAATATCAAATGTCACCAGTGTCCAAAACGGTTTAGCTCTTTAGATTCTTACAAAACACATGTGTCTATTGCACATATAGGTTCCAGGATCTTCCAGTGCAAAATTTGTTTCAAAAAGTTCCCTCGCAAGAGGGAATTGGACCGCCATGCAGCTCTCCATTCTGGTATGAAACCTTTTTCTTGTAGTCAGTGTGACAAAAAATTCACTAAGAAAGACAAACTTGATAAGCATGAACAAACTCATGAATGCCTGGTTGTGAATATGCCTTGCATAGAATGTGGTGCCACATTTGAAAAGAAGCCTGATCTAGTTGCACATATTAAATCTCATTTTACTGAAAATTTTGATGATAAATTAACTGAGGCTGAGATAAAAAAGGAAGAGGATACGGAATTCAATTTGGAAGATAATTTCTATGATCTTGAAACTTGAGAAAATAAAAAATAATGTAAACCTTATGTCTGATTATTGTATGGCACCACAGTGTAACTTATTGTTCACTTAGTACTTAATAGTTAGGTATTTTATTGCTTTGAGGATAAGGTGGTAATTTTTACATTGGTGAATGTTAAATTATAAATTTAGTATTTGTTTGGTTAATTATGAAAAGTCTGAGACCCCCATTCTATTATTTAAGCCCACCGTATGTGGTATTTGTTATTAAATCAATTATAAACATTTAATATAATAACCTGATTTATTTTAACACATTGTGAGCTTCTCATATTGAGGAATTGTTTTACCAAAAATTATGTTTATTATTTGTTATTTGTCATTGTTATTTGTAAGTTAAAATCTTATTAGATATGGTATTAGAAATTTGTATGTTAACAAGTTTTAGATTTAGAGGCCAATATCTCTAAAATGGATGTGAACAAGTGTGTAGTAAATGTAATATAAAGTTTTATTCTTAAAATTAGATCTGAATTAATGAAAGCTCAGGCTTCCTCATCAAACTCTTTAGTTTTTCCAAAGATATCTAGTTCTAATTGATGTAAGCGTACCATGAATAAAAACTGATTTGCAATTATTATAAGCATGCACAAACACTGTCCTTATCAAGTGATAACTGTAGATATGTTAAATGTTAATATTAAAATACTTATAATGACTGTTTAGTTAGTGCATACAATTTTTACTTTATGCTTAGCACCCAGGTGGTTTTACTTTTTTTTAATAAAGTCAAAAAATAATCAAGTCATGCATTTATAGTTAGTACTAAAACAGTAACTAGAAGTAATTTGAGAAGATAGTTACATATAAAACATATTTAAATGATAATATTAAAATGTAATGTTTTTGAAGACTTAAAAAACTTATTCAATTTTATCATTCAGTATTGCACAACACTACCAGACTACTATTTAGCAAATTAAATCATATTAAAAAAGATTATTGCATCAAAATAAAGATTGTTAAAATAAGCTATTCTTGTCTTGCTCTTAATTTTTGTATAGTATAAATGCAAATTATTCAGAAATATACAAATATAGATAATGTAAATCTTTATCTGCAATAAATGTTGTCCACTTAGTAACTGCTTTTGTTCATTTTTGTACCCCTAGCAGTAGACTGCATTAATTTTCTACATATTTACTAAATCAACTCCACAGCAAACATGAAACCTCCTTCACAATGTCTGATGAAGTGATGAGTGACTTAGATTTCATATAGAAAATACATCAACTTATCAGTTGGCCTAACAGACACTGGTCAACAGGCCCTATATATTGCAGAAGTTATTTTATAATTCACGGAGCAACTCTGTGTGATCCACAGACTGTTGTTCCGGGTCTGTTTATCATGTGCATGTGAACTTATGTTTGTAAATGCACCAAGGAGACAGGAGAAAATCCTAGTGCAGGGCAATATTCAAAACCGAAAAAGATGCAAACGTCATCTCTTATATCTATTTCCAAAGTCAAGTAAAAAAACATTCGCTTTTTTTATATTTTTTATTATTATCCAGCTAATGGGTTAGCATGTATCGTAACTGAAGTGATTTTGGCATCTGTGAGTGGTCTGTAGGTCTTAGGGTTGACAGTCATTTTTTCTAGATCATCCAGTGCTTCAAATCCATCTATAATCCTGAAATAGAGATAAAAATGTTTTAGAATACTGTTATACAGATTAAATAGAAACTAATGTTAGATATGTGGTATTTGTTGCACACCTACTACCTATGTAAAAAATAGGGATAATGTTTTTTGAAAACATTTACATTTTTGTAATGATTTGACATGACATTTTCCTTGATTAGATGTATAGCCATGGTATTATCATTTAAGCTGTGGGGATACTAACATACACACAAACTATGTATTTGTGTTATTGGACTGACCATTAGATATAGGCTAAAGCTCTAGTTATTAATCCCATACCAAACAGATTTATTATAAGGGCAAAGTCAAAGAAGCTTATTTAATACCTAAATAGACTTTAGTGCTATTCAGTAGACACTAGAAACTGGACAGGAACCTATCAGGCCCAATCTAACTGATGTAATGAAACTACATGACAATCACCACACAAATGCAAACAATTTTCCAATCAGTATGTTCAAATCGAAGTTCATTTTTGTAACTAATGCCTGAATATTGAAAGGTTACTCAATATTAAGTTGCACTTACATATCATACCATCTCTGTCATTTTTCAAAGAATTTGCACTGACAGAACTATTTTTTTTTTCTTTGGCAACAGAGTCTCTAAAACGGTGTTGTCAACTATACTGCCAAGAACTATAATTATACACAACTTAAAATTGTGTAACCTTTCAGTATTCAGGCATAATTTACAAAAAACAACACATGTGGTATTTTATTTTTAACAAAAAGGTTTCATCACTATCGATACATGTGGTTATTGATTATGTTAATTTATTATTATCTTACCTGCCAAATAAAGTGTATTTTAGGTCTAGATGAGGTTGTTCTCCATAGGTGAAGAAAAATTGACTGCCATTGGAGTTAGGTCCATTGTTTGCCATGCTCACCATTCCTCTTGCATTGTGCTGGAAATTATAAAAAATACCATGAGTGACTAATGCCCCCTAATTACCATTCTTAGTAAAAAAATACTTTGCTACTTATAACATATCTTTAGATCTGCACCTTCATGAAAATGTTACATGGGTACATAACACAATGGCATGCTTGGTGCCCATATACAAAGCAGTCCTAATACATTATGTTTATTAAATAATATCGAATAATAATTAAATATTTCACTAATAGGAAATGTATATGTAAATAGTTTATCTTCAATTCTCAAACAAATTATCAAAAAAGATGTTATAATTTACATACCTTTAACTCTTCTTTAAATTCATCTTCAAATTTACGCCCCCAGATAGAAGTTCCACCTTTTCCTGTACCTGTAGGATCTCCCGTTTGTACTATGAAACCCTAGAAATAAATAAACAAAATATGTTAGGTTATTTTTGAAGCAATTTGTTCCTAGGCATTAAATTAGTGTATCAATATTATGTGTGTTATTATAAACATAATAGTGTATAAAATATTGTTAATGTGAATTTCCTTACCTTAATATTCCTATGAAACAGACTGCCGTTGTAATAATCACTAGCACACAGAGCTAAGAAATTCTCACAAGCTTTTGGACATTGCTCGCAATATAGTTCTATTTTAATATCACCTACGTCAGTATGCAATGTTACAGACATTTTCACTTATTTATTTCACTTTCCAACTATTATTCAATCTTAAGTAAACCCGTACTGTCTGCTCGACTGGAATCACAATAATAAATAAACACAGCCCATAACCTCATTAGATCACTTTGACATTATCAGTGTTGCCAACTCACAAATTTTTACCCCTCAAAACTCGCATGTTATTAATTATTATGAACTATTTTATTTGTTTATTTTTATTATTTTATTTATTCATAAATTTAGCTTTTTTCTTTTTCAAATTACGTTTGAGTTATAAAATGTGTAATTGTAATAAAGCTTTTACTATTGGTACCTATTCTTGGTCATTAACTTGTGTAAAAGACGAAGAATTTTATCGGTTGTCTATAACCGCTAAAACAAAGTTTTAAGGTACATATTTTTTATGCTTTTAACATAATGTTATGTAAAGGCAAGAATCATACTTCTGAAAAAATATACCACAAAAATATCAATAACTGTGTAACTTCCGCATTTAAAGGTAAAACTTCTAAATTGGCAACCCTGTGTGGTCAGTGACAGGTAGCGAGCGGAGACAGAAAGTTTCCAAGTTCCGAGTTTTGACATTACTTTTTTACCGATTTCAAAAAGGAGGACGTTCTCAATTCAATCCTTCTATCCGCTTCAAAGTACAGCAAAGATGCACAGAAAAGCTTACAAAAATTTAGTAAAACAGACTAGCAACGAGACAGCTAGCCGGTTTTATCAATCAAATCCTTGCTTCCAGAATAATTGTTGCATCATTATAAACATTATTATTGGTACAGTTTACAAGTAAGAATAAATTTAAAAATCGTGAAAAGTAAAAAAATCAGCCTATAATGTTTTAATTTCAAATTAAATTTTTATTTACCATACTCAATTTGAAATAAATATCTATTCTGATACACATACTTATTTATTTCGGCATAGGTATATTCTACCAGTTTCAAATTAAAAAAATGCCAGGTGACTTCTGAAAAGGCAAGAATGGACATGGTAATTTGGCAATATACTAATGAGATAAAACGAAACAATAAAAATACCATTAACTATATAATATTTCCCACGCTTTTAATAGATAATAATAATAAAATACCACGGGACTTCTGGGAAGTAGGTAATTTGTCTTATCGAATATATAAACCTTCTATCTTACTAATATTATAAATGCGAAACTTTGTGGTTTGTGTGTTATTACTCAAAAACGACTAAAGGGATCGGGATAAACTTTAAAGCAAGGGTAGATTGTGGTTTGGAATAACATTGGCCACATTTTAGCAGAAACTAGAAAATAAAATAAAACGAACAATAACAATACATACATACAGGATTTATTAAGAATTTACAATTGAGATCATTCTACACTAAGGAATTTATTCACTACCGCCAGCTCTTTCATTTTGTCCTGCGTGGGGTTCATGGGTATTCTCGTCCATGCCTTGAGGACCGTAGTTTCCAAGTAACCTTTGCCCATTAGGGTCGAATGGAGATTTAAAGTGCAATGTCGCTTTGTGCTTCTGTCCCAGTACCTCAATCTCATAATCTCCCTCTTTTAAGTAATCTTTGGTGACTAGGTCGCCCTTGTTAGTCACGTAGCCGATACCAATAGGTTTGTCTAGGTAGAAGGCATAGTCTCCCCTCCTAAGGTAACCTACAGGTTCACCGTTTCTGAATATGGCTTCCTGACCGAAGATTGCCACCTAAAAAATTTTAAATACACGTGTTAATTAGTTGTTAATGTATTTATAGCTGTGTATGTTAATAACATAACATAACATTACGCCGAAGCGGTAGGAAGAGGTGCACTATACGGCAATTAATACCACTGTACAATGTAACATCCACTTTTCACTATTTATGTTATGAGACCCATGTAATAGGGGGTGAGCCTATTGCCATATACCGGGCACAATTCTAGACTCCGTGCTATTACTGAGTTTTTTTTTAAGTAATACTTTGCCCGAACTGGGAATCGAACCCGAACCCCTTGCCCGGCAGTCGCATTTGTGACCACTCGGCTAACGAGGCAGTCTTTTATGTTAATACTTTCTTTAAAGTTCAACTGACAAAGAATTATAACAGGCAATTGATCAATATTTAACGCCCCGCGCGCTGCCGGCCACTTTGATCCACGTGGTGTTTAACTAAAGATCTGTTTAATGTTAATCAATACACATTAATTGTTTATTAGCTCAACTGACACATTTCATTCGAAAGACTATAACTATATTCAAATATCCCCCAGTTAGACTAATCGAAACTTACCGAAAGGGGTGATAGAGCCTAACTGTAATCCTTACTTCCTTACTAATATTATAAATCGGAAAGTGAGTTTGTTTGTTTGTTCCGATTTCACGCCGTAACTACTAAACCGATGGCTTTGAATTTTTGCAGACATAAAGTTTAAAGTCTGGATTAAATAATAGGGTACTTTTTATCCCGGAAAAATTTAATATTCCCGAGGGAAAACAAAAGTATTGGTATAAATGGCACTGTATGTATTGGTATATGTCACATAGGCTACTTTTTATCCTTTTGTGACGCGAGCGAAGCCGCGGGTAAAAGCTAGTACAATAATTATAACTGACTTTTAAAAATAAATAGGGTAAATACTATGTTCAAATGCTTTATGTCTCAAGAGTAAAGAATGCGTAATACCTTTTCATCAAGAGTAAAGAATGCGTATTTCTTGGTGACTCCGTTGGCCTTGGCTCTGGTAACATGTTCATTCCCAATGTAGTCTCCATCCTTCCTGCACGCGAAGCCCAAACCAGCCTCTACCGGGTTGTCATCGGCTCTCAAATCAGCGTTCCATAGGTGGTATCCTGTAATAAAAATATTATACAGCAAGTGCTTTATTAAAACTTATGCCAATACTTATTGTTGGATCGCAGTGTCTACCAAGCATAAGGGTTTGAGACCAGAGTCAGGCAGAATTTAAAATAAAACTGTATATGTAATCTCTGTTTTTATAATAACTATCATGAGACATACTGAATAAATTAAAAATGACAATTACTTACGTAAATATACTGAGAGAAGCTCTACTAGTCGCGCGGTCGCGGCATGTAGGCTGCGTGACATCGCCGTGACCGCGCACCTTGTTCATGAGAAGAGTCCTTCTGTACCCCGAAACTAGTAGAGCTTTTCTCAGTATATTTACGTGAGTAAACCGTAATTTTTTTTAGTTAGTTATTATATACTCGTTTAAAAAAATACTTTATAGTTTTACAAAAACGCACAACGGTTACTTATCCATCTTAAGGTTTACTACATGACAACAAACAAACATGCATAAAAGAATAATTATGTATCTGTTTTTGATATATGGGCCGATTGACGATGTCTGTATAGCCCCTTTACACCAGATAAATAGTTAAGAACGTAACCTGTATGAATATGACAAGTTTATCCGGTACATTTACGGAGGTGGTGAAACCGGCGCTTAATCTTTAAATAGCGTACAATAAACCAATTATTATTATTCTTATAAACCTACCTTTCTCCGCACTCAAAGACGTGAGCGCTCTCCAGCCAGCGTTCCTCAATCCCTTGGCGCGACTCAACGCCTTATATACCGGTATAGCATGAGCGGACGGTACATGCAATTCCCACCCTAATTCCCCAGACCATGTGACTCTTAATGCCCTGCATCTGTAGCGTTTGTCTTCTGGAGTGTTAGCTGCCTTGGTGACGTGAATGCTGCGATGTGTGTTCACTGGGAAGGCGTCGTTTGAGAGACCGGCGTCGGTATAGCGTTGGAGGATGCGTTGGCTGTGAAGGAGATTTACACAAGATTTTTACATAGGTTCCATAGAAATGTAGGAATAGGTAGGTTATTAACACTTTGAGTACCGTCATTATAGACACAATTAAAGAACAATAGGTTGCGGTCACCGGTGTCCTCGCGGTTTTTGACAGTTTAAAGCCGTTTCTAAGGTCTAAGGTCTTCTTTTGGTTGATTAATGAAGCAATTTGACTGCAAAATTTTCTTGTTGTGTCTGTCCACTACCTCGGCACGGTTGGCGCGGTGGCAAGGCAACTGTTTGTAAACGTTTGCACCCAGGACACAGGAGAAAATCCTGGTGTGGGGCAAAGTTGTATTATAAAAAAATCGATTCCAAAATTTTCACTCATCACACCGATTGGTTGGACCCCATTTCCAAGGTAAAATAAACCCTCGCCTACGAGTGCAAAGTTAGTTATCAATTTTCAAATCTCTAAAGTAAAAGATTACCAACGCATTAGTAATTCCTTTGGAATGATGTCTATACGCCGGTTCCTTACCATCAGATGATACGTCTGTTCGTTTACCGCCCTATATCAAATAAATGAATTTTGAAATATTTTGCTAACATTAACTAAAGAACTTCTTACCTATCAGGTCCCTGAACACTAAGAATGCACATCTGCTTGGTGACGTCAGTGATGGTGGCACGCAATTTATGCGTGTTGATGATCCGGCGCAGGTGGGCCAATGTATGGTTCGCACTAAAACCACTTGTAACTACGTAGTAACCACGACCCTGGGAGAAAGACATTTTAATTTTAATCAATTATAGTTACTGTAGAATGACTGTCAAAAAATAAGTTGCGTTGGGACTTTTGACTTTTTGCCTTTTTGACTTTTTGACTTTTGACGAGAAGGGCAAGGGAGATTCGATACCTGGATCAGGTGAAAATTTATTAAGGTTAAAGTGTTTACTTCTCTGTATGCTAACCAGTTAGTATGGGCAAACTGGCTAACATATTAGCACACAGGCACATGGGTTGATGTGCTAAGTATAATATAACACTCATAAAATAGTGTTTAGGAACTTCTAGCAAGGAGGTACTCCTTTCTTCTCCTCTCCTCTACTCTATACGTTAATGACATCTACCCACGGTCACATACCTTGAAGATAGGCTCGTGTAGCCCACCAGTGCCGCCATCTAGAATGCTGACAGTGACGTCAGCTTCCACACCTCCCTTATCGTTCAATAGCAGAGAATACACCACCCTGGAAAACGACAAAGTTATTAAAGTGCGTTAATTTTTTTTTATTTTTTAAGTAAGAGAGCCTACGCTTCGTTACGTATAGACTAACTCGGTTAGTTGCGCCACCAGCATTTTGTTGAAATATAGCCCCTAAGGTTCGGAAGACTTAACGGGTTGCCGGGGTTCTGGCTTGAAGGGCAGGAGCGGGGCGGTTTTTAGTCACCAAGAGTCTGATCCAGGCGAATGAAGTCATTAGATGTTACCCCCCCCCCCCATTAAAGAAAGAAAATAAGGATACCGGAAGCGTTATCCCCCCCCCCCACTTAGGTTCCCCCAAAAGGTCGGTAACGCACTTTTAACTCTTCTGATGTCGCCGGTGTCTAGGGGCGGCACCGATACCTTATCATCAGGTGATCTGTCCTATTCCATGAGAAAAACATTGTATTCTGCAACATAACAGTAAATTCTCTTATGCCTTACCTATCATCATGTTTAGAGAGATCGGCAGTGAATGCGAGGTCAGCAGTGCGCTGTGCGTCCGGCCCGGTCAGGTAGAACTTGCCGTAGTACGACATGTTGAATAGAGCCGCTGCATTACGGCACGCTAAGGCTTCTTTACCGATCTGAGGTAGAAGAAACATGCTTAAAGATTTTAAACTTAACTTAGTGTTACATATCGGACTCAATTTAATAACATCGTAACATCACGCCTTTTTATCCTCAAAGCGGTAGGCAGAGGTGCACATTATGCCACTGTACAATGTAACACCCACTTTTCACTATGTTATGAGTCCCATGTAATGTAATAGGGGGGTGAGCCTATTGCCATATACCGGGCACAGTTCCAGGCTCCGTGCTACTACTGAGAATTTTTTGTAAATCCAGTAATACTGTGCCCGACCCGGGAATCGAACCCGAGTCCCCTTGCCCAGCAGTCGCACTTGCGACCACTCGGCCAACGACGCAGTCGATTTCATTCAGTGTCAAAAAATGTTTTCAGTTTTTCTTCCATCTCATTTACATTTATCTTACATCTTGCCATAATACATCATTTACCTATCTTACTATAGAGGTAGTGTTCTATTCACCCAAAGGTTGCCTGTTAGATATCGCTTTTAGTGATAAGGCCGCCCTATTCTCTTGATTTTCTAGCTCTATATAAGCTCTATATACTGTCTCAAATCTGTGTACAACAAAGATTATTCTATATTCTATTCTGTCCTAATTTACTTACAATATTGTGGTGTTTAGAAAAATCGAAGGAATGTTCTCCCTTGAGAATTTCCTCGTATCGCTGGTCGATGTTCCTGGGGTAATCAGAGTGGGCACCACCCCAGTCGTACTGCTGTACTCTTATCTGAAATTAAATAAGTTTTTTCATAACCACATTCTATCTAGCACGGTGTTCTAGTCCACTGCAAACGAAATACTTCAAAATAAGGTACTGAGTGCAAGTTATTTATTTGCACGTTATTTGCACGCGATCGAAACGTTAACGCGTATGACCTTCTGATTGGTTGGTAAAATTGGAACAGCCAATCAGAGCGCCGAACGTCATGAACGTTCGCGCTAACGTAAAACGAACTCTCACTAGCCACTCTGATTGACATTTATCTTTAGTATGTATAATTTAATAAAGAAAATAGAAGTATTTTTGTTGACAAGATAGAAAATATTCATAAAAAATCAAAGACCCGAGTGAGTAGGTTGCTTATGGGACGACGTGCTCCATCGTAGACGGCATCATCGCTTACCACCATGCGAGATAGTGGTTAAACGTCGGCCCATCAAATATATAAAAAACTTGTAATCTGTTAGTTGTATCTGCGAAAATTCTACGACAAAACCGAATAAATCACTATTATATATTTATAACTAGCGACCCGCCCCGGCTTCGCACGGGTGCAATATGCATGTATTATACATATAAATAAACCTTCCTTAAGAATCACTCTATCTATTAAAAAAACCGCATCAAAATCCGTTGCGTAGTTTTAAAGATCTAAGCATACATAGGGTCAGACAGACGGCGGATAGCTACTTTGTTTTATACTACGTAGTGATTAGTAAAACTTCACGCACCTTCTCTCCGGGCAAAAAGAAGGCTGGTCGTTCCCACCCAGCTCTAGACTGCATAACTGCTCCATCTTCCACAAGTTCTTGATGCAAGGCATCATGGCTCGCGTCTCTACCAGCTAAGTGCTCATCGTGAGGGAACACTATGTTATAGTTCCTAGCATACGCTTCGTGACTGGTTTCACGCATCCAATGTGGGCGTGACATCTGACCAGGCGTGAACCGACGAATGTCGAAGGTGAACATGTTGTATTGTGGTCTGTGAATTTATTAAATTATATTAAGAGTAAGGCATTGGGAAAAACAAACATAAAAAATAATGGCAACTGTCATTCTTCCCTCTAGATGTGGTCAATGGGATAAATGTCGATTTTATTTTTTCGCAACAACTACAATAGATAGGCAACTGTTACCTACTGATTCCAAACTCCATTCCCAAGGTAATATATTCAATTAAAATCATCTGTATCTCCTTAGCAATAGGGTAGTAGACTAAATTTTATTTTAATATCCATCTAGTAGATTATTTTAAAACATTAGACACGTATTTATTCTTTTCTTACAAAATGAAATACTTTCAACAATATATTGATTTGAAATATCGTATGACGTCACGATTCACTACATTTTATAGGGTAGCGTGTACGTCACGCTACCCTATAAAATGTCCTCCGACTCCCACTTCTAAACTTAACTCCGTTTCATATAAGTATTGTTTAGTTATACGACCAAATAAAAAAATATGTGTCTAAAATTTTTTCATTATCTAAATGACGGACTTATTACATTTTTAATTTTAATACACTGTTTACTACCCTATTCCCGTCTCAGAATGCAACAAATAGATAACATTTATGTTGACATGAATAATCTAACTTGCATAGGTACTCATCAATTAATGAATTCAGCTAATTGTGATCAGCATGACAAACAGAAAGCTATCATTTTCCTAGACACAAACTCATATAAGATATAATTAATGCTTAATCACAGTAATCAATAATATTGCATCATAGATAAGTAGGTAATCCACAAGTCGTCTAGTTTATGAATGATGCAATTAGTTGAAATTATCTTAACTATGTAAACAATTACATTTGCAATTTTCTAGTGAATGATAATGCTGTATAAATAATAATAATAGTTGTGAGTCATTTGTACCTACATAATAATATGCTATCTCATGGGTCTTCTGTTTTATAAGAAAAATTCTATTGTATTTTTCAATAACTGAGTAAGGGAGGTAACTTAGGCGTTGCTTTGGAAATGTGTCAGTCAAGCTTAGATTAGATCTTTTCATTATACCAATGAAAAGGTTTTATGGCATTTGCTTATTATAAAGAACAGTATGAAATTCCCAACATTTTAAAAGATTTCCACTCCCTTTTGGGGCATAAAGGGGACTTTCGTGAGACATACTAAATAAATTATTATGTTTTCTGCTTACTCACGACAGTCGTATCAGCGCGACAGTCGCCGCGTCGCGGATCGCGAAATGCTGCTCATGAATATGAGCCTCTAGCATGGCTTGAAACTAGTCGAATTCCTCGTCAAATTACTACGTGAGTAAGCCGAAAACATAATATTTTATAAAGGGGACACTTAACAGTAATGGCAATAGGCTCACCCAACCCACCTATTATAAAAAGAAGTTCTACACATGGTTGAACAGATACAATGACTAGAAAAAGTACCTCTATTAATGTCAAATTAATATGAAGTAAGCAATAGCAGGTCAAGTGGATTATATGTAAACAGCTATAAAATAGTTATTATTTAATAACCTGCCTCATTTTTATTATTTTATACCTTATTTTATACCTTTTAATATCGCAGTTTTGTGCAAATCCTCGATAACTGTGATAACCTCCCATGTTATTTATATGCTCGTATAGACAGCAGGAGGTCGTAGTTATAACTCTATCTATTGTAGAGAATATATATTGTGTACAAATAAATACTATATAATGGCCACTGTGGCGATTGTTGATTTAACTTGCTTTGGGGGACTAAATGACTATTTTCTTCACGTATAATGGGGCTTACATAACAAAGAATCTGAGCTAAAATGTTGGAACGCTCAATTGCATTTTGGCTCGCCTTTTTTTATTTCTTTCATTCATCAAGTGTGGGAGATCCACGCTTCGGCACAAATGGGTCGGCTCGACCGGAGTGATACCACGGAATCACAAAAAACCGACGTGAAACAGCGCTTGCTTGCCTGAATCCCCAACAATCTTCAAATTCCTAGTCCCCAAAAGGCCGGTAAAGCACTTGTAATGCCTCTGGTATTTCGGGTATCCATGGGCGACGCCGATTACCTACTTACCATCAGTTGATCCGTCTGCTCGTTTATCGGCTTATCCCATATAAGATCTATCTCTATTCGTCAATTGTATAAAAATTGTACCCATAGAACTTTTAAGTCATAATCTGGTATGCTTACCTTCCAGTTACGATCCATTCCGCCATTTGTATACCGCATCCCGCAGAAAACATCATACCGGCCGAGTTGTAGCCGCAGTTGTGATACAGACCTGCATTACACATACTTCTATGCATTAGAGATAATAATGTGCTAAGTTTATCGTCTTTTTGGTATATTTATCATAATATCTGACACTCGAACGTTTTTCTCTAGACTTCAAACACGCTTAGTCTGTTTTACCGAGTTCTCGTATGAATTTCATTAATTTAAATTTATCCCATTAATGCTTAACATTCCCCAACGAGCCTACATGTTAAGTTTCATATTTCTACGTCCAGTAACTGCGCGTTGTCTAAAGTAAAATCAGCGTAGCGTAAAAGATTCCAGTAATTGATAATGTAAATCACACTAATATTATAAATGATTGAGTTTCTTCGTTGGGATGTTTATACTGAGCGGATTTTGATGGTATATAGGCAGGATATGGGCTGACTTAGGTGATAGGACATTTTTACCCCGATTAAATGCTCCTATGGGATAAAACAGGATCTACGCGGACGAAATCGCGGGCAATAGCTAAATCTAAGGTTGAAATAACAGATTTTAACACAGTTCTCAGGCAAATTTAGTGGGAGTGGCAAGTTAGATATAAAAGATGATTATTATAATTACATGTTCATAAGCGAAATAGTTACTATTAGCGGTAGATATAGGGGCATTGCGTCAGATCAATGTATACGATAAATAAATCTTATAACACAAGTGTATCTCAGTACGTTGACCAGTTGACCTATATTATAATTATAATAGTTTAATACTTCGTTTATTTTATCTACGTATGTTTATTAAGTTAATACATTGTTTTACTCATTACTTACTGTTTAACATTACCTTCAAGAAATTATTCCTTTTATAATAACTTTAGTGAGACCTTCTAAATTAAGTAAAAATCGTGGGTTCCTCACGAAAAAGTACTGAGAAAAGCTCTACATCCTAAACAGAACACGCTGCTCATGAGGAAGAACCTAACACAAACACACACACACATAGCTTATTGTATTTTTGTATATTATTTATGTATTTCTTTTTATATGTTGCTAGTATATTATATCTATTGTAGGTTGTATTGTAGGCATTTTTATATTTTATTGTACACGTAACTACCCCTTATCTGGTTTCTTACAAATATTTCCATCCAAAGGTTGTCTGGAAGAAATCACCATTGTGTGATAAGACCGCCCATTGTACGCATATTTACTTGAATTGTTTGTTTTAAACTACATAAATGTGTACAATAAAGCATATATGAATGAATGAATGAAGAACCGCTCTGAGGTTCGAAACTAGTAGAGCTTTTCTCAATATTTACCCGCGATTTTTAGTTAATTTATTCTTGTTAAACAACTTAAATTGGACAGAAGACTTCTTCGGCATTTTTAAAAGGGGCACACAAGTGCTTAATAAATTTCCAATCTACCCGATTAGGGGGCAAAGTTAGACAGTCAGTAAAAAAACAAGTCAGACTACCGATCCTTTTTGGACTAACTCAATCTTATACTAAATAATTTACCGTAAGCATAAAAACTCACCAAAAACATTAGGATCCTCTCCAAGCAGGGGCTTATGGTCAGGAGTGAAGGACTCAGGACCGCAAACAGTACTCTTGACTCCAACCGTACCGAGCTTGGGACATAATGAGGTGGCACTCGTCATGTGGACGCCGAACACGTCCCAATCTAACTCGTACAAATGGAACTGTAGGTTATCTGGTACCTGGAATACAAAAAGGTAAATTAAATTAAAAGTTCTCTTCCAAAAACATTATAAATGCGAAATTCGGTTTGTTTGTTGCCTCTTTACGCTTTATTTTAAGTTTCGTATGTACCGTCAAAGGACAAAAGTCCACTGCCACCGTGAGTGATGTTCACACGGCAATGTGTAAGTAATTTCATATTAATGTGCATAAAAACGCGTGCGTATGCATAAACACAGGCACGCGTACGCACACGGATAAAAATATCCGTGTGCATATGTGTATAAGCGCTGCAGCGCATCCGATAGTAGTCTTACGGTGGCACTGGTGGACTTTTGACCTTTGACTGTACATATTACGGAAGTTAGAAGTTTGGGGAAGGACAAAGAAGACCATGTTTCATGAGATGGCTACCTGAACTTCGCGTCCTTATTTCTACAGATGGACATGACCCCTAAAGCCAAAACTATTGTGGGTACAATAGAATAAGACCCTGAGTATTAGCTAGACATCAGTTACTTTGAATAAATAAAGGCAAAACCGTGGATAAAATTAAGCTATTTATCTATACATACCTGGTCAAGCATATGCGGGTTGCTCTCATAGCCTCCAACATGACACGACTCTCCTTGCACCTTGATATACAAGTCGACATCATGATCTCTAATGTTAGGACCACCTCTAATTTCTGGTGTCGCATCCATCACCACATATGCGTGTTTGAATGGAATCAGTGGAAGGCTTGGAACGCCTGCAAAACGGGCAACGCGGGGACCCCATGCTCCTGAGAAGTGAATAATAAAAACATTTGTTTTGGTAAGTACGTTTTTGAAAACAAGTGTGGGAGAGCCATGCTTCGGCACGAATGGGCCGGCTCGACCGGAGTGATACCACGGCATCACAGAAAGCCGACGTGATGCAACGCGTCTGTTTCGTCGTGTGAGTTACGTTACCGGAGGCCCAATTACCTTCCCCTTCCCCAATGTCCCCAATCCCTGAATCCCCAACGATCCTCAAACTCCTAATCCCCAAAAAGCCGGTGACGCACTTGTAACGCCTCTGGTGTTCCTGGTGTTCATGGGCGACGCCGATTGCTTTCCATCAGGTGATCCGTCTGCTCGTTTACCGGCTTATGTATGCCATAAAAAAATATTGACTTTCTCTCTTTTGTTGTCATGTTGCCTTGGTTATTGTATTGGGTCTGAAATGACTGATACTGACTGATGATTAGTACTTTTTAAAGTCTTTTGTTACTATCAAGTATCATTAGCCGTGTACTGATTGACCGAGCAACCTCGCGAGGCAAATGCTCGGCCTGATCGTTGTGGGTATTTTGTTTTTTCAAAGGCCGCCTCGATCCAAACCTTGTACACATCAAGGCTGCCTCGCGAGGAGATCGTCCCGTGGCAATCGCCTGCGGCTCCTCGGTCAGTCAGAACAAAGCTTAAAAGTTTAGCAAGAGAAAATCACAGGTAGAGTAATCAGCGCCGCGACTAGAGCGCACTCGGGTCACGGCATTTAAGCTGAGCTCTGGCCTTTTTGCGCCGTCTTCACTGTATCAATTTTTCGTGTGCTTTGTGACCGTGTGCAAATAAACAATTTTTCTTTCTTTCTAGAGGTATCTAATATTGTGTTCCAATACGTTCAACACTTAAATGGGCAAGTAAAACAATTCACAAAATAATAGACATGTGATCTCTTCGAGATAACTTTAGTAAGTATCTATCTGTATTCATTGGTAATATTTGCTCTAAAAAGGATGCATTTAGTGTATAATCATAATTATTTATTTACTTAACGTTTCATGCACAAACATAATGTACATAGACATACTTGATGCTAATTTATTCTTAACAGTACAAAGATAATAGGACATTAACAATGTCTAGAGTTGTGCCCGATCTAATAAGGAAATAGATAACATATCTTTATATATATAATTCTTCTGTGAGTGTGTATGTCACTGAACTTCTCTCAAACGACTGGACCGATTTTGATGAAATTTTTTGTGTGTGTTCAGGGGGATCTGGGAATGGTTTAGATTCACAAATCAGCCCGGCAGATGGTGCTGCAGTCGATGTTTAGGTTATTTATCCTAAACAGCTGAACTAATTTGAATGCATTTTTGTTTATACATTCAAGTGGATATGCAGGACAACGTCTGTTGGGTCCGCTAGTATATGTATATAATATGAGACCCTTTCGGACGATAAAAAATGTCGTTGTGGTAATAAAATATATGTTAATTACCTCCACAATTAACAACACACTTAGTCTTGATAACTCCCCTGTCTGTGTGTACGGCTGTAACTTCCTTGTTTCCGAGTAGATTGTGTGTGTAATGGACGTCTAGTACTGGACAGTCTTCATACACCTATACAAGAAATATTTATTATTAACTTGTAAAAATATTATCTGGTCTTGGTGGGGGTATTCCCGTATCCCCAATTGTTGATGAAACAAATACTTATACAAATATTGACGCTCCTTTACATATTTGTTAGTTTGTTGGACTTTTACATCGAAACTGCTGAACTAATTTCGACGCAATTTAGTTACAGAGATAGATGGGACTTACGAAGTTGTTGTAGGCTTGAAACAAAGCTGTTAAATTGAAATTGAGAAAGTTGTAATAAAATAAAAATATGTCTTGATTGCTAACAGGAATGTTGAAGTGATTAAATCTTTGAGTGGCTACAGAAAATACTTGAAAGCTAATCCTCCACCCATTATGCAATTCATTTTTTTTTCAGGTGTTAACACTGTCAAAACTTTAATATGTAGTAAAAGTAAAACGACATTCACTCACCTTCCCTCCATTTTTCAAAGCCACTTTTACAAGAGCATTGCACGCCATAGAAGGGTCTATTGTCCCATCTTCAGAGGCGTAGAGAGCCATTTGGAACACCGAAGGGTCGAGGAGTGGGAACTTCTTCTGCGCGTCAGCTGGACTCAACACTTCGCTAGGAATGTTCAATGCCTTACCCAGTGTGTGTAGTCTTAGGTATTCTTGTGTTCGGACCTAGGAAAATATAATAAAAAGGTAACTATAATTAGGAAGTAGATGTAGCTACACGTAAGAGTAATCTTAGTTGGGGCTCCGAGACAATGTGTATTGGTCGTCTTGATTGATTGTTTATTACAAAAAAATAAACGCAATTTTAATTGCGAAAAAAGATTTACGCAACTTTATTCTCTTTTTAAATAGAAATAAAGACTTTATGTGGAATATAGAACTCAATACTTAACTATAGCTGCAGTAGTACCTTGTAACTATTGCTGATGTAAAAACGCATAGGCATAACTTAGATATTAATAGATCGGTTGAATGGAATCGCCAAGTAAAAGTAGCGCCTACAAAACAAAGATCAGAGGAAATCAGGGAGATAACACAGAAAGTAAGAAAAATATAACACCAAAATTAAATGTTAAAACCTACCCCATACATACATAATCCCTCACACCCAGAAGCACACACCAACATACTATACATTTTAATACAAATATTCTATGTATATACAATATACTATACATTTTAAGAATACCCACTTACATTTTGCACTAACCCACTTACATATTATATACCTTAAGTACTTACCTATATTCCGAACAAATAAATAAATATGTAAAAAAAAATGTTAACCAAAATGTAATTTATAATAAGCTGGTGACACGCCTAAAATTTGCAACGCCTGAAAAAGGCCGTTAAGCTATGCCTGTTATTTCATAAGACCTTTTATTACTTTAACATGCAAATAAAGAGTTTGAGTTTGAAAGTTATTTTTAGGTAGACTTACTTTACTCCGAGATATGAACATGCCGCCATTATTGGTCCACCCTGCATGGTCCCCAGTCTCTTCTTCCAAGGTACTGTAGACTTTCCTTGAGTCCCGCAATAATTTAACTTCTAAATCACATGGTCTTAGCGACCATACAAGTCCTATAAATTGATCAAATTATATTATTAAACACGCATTTACGTTTACTCTTACGAGTCGTATGGTGGCTGGGGAACCGGCTGATTCCGGCTTCGATTCCCGCACTGAGCAACTCTTTGTGTGATCCCCAAATTGTTGTTTCGGGTCTGGCTGTCATGTGTATGTTTGTAAACGCACCCACGACACATGAGAAAATCCTAGTGTGGGGCAACGTTTTTTTTTAAAAAAAACAATGATCTTCGGTAGGTAAAAGTTACTTTGCTAAGACATGGTGTAGGGAATTTTTTATAAGTACTTAACAGGATACACGTAAAGAAAATATTAGGTATCAGAAACATCGTTAATTAAAATATACACTAGATATTAACTAAGTATAAATTTACATAAGGTCACTTATATTGAAGTTAATTATTCTATATTTTTATCACTATAACAAGTTCATTACAGTTTGTGATAAAAGAGAAGAACAAAGAAAGTATACATAAATAAAAAAGGAACCAGTTCATCATCTTACTATCTTTGTGACATCATCGAATGACTCTTACTGACTAAAAACTACCCTACTCTACTCATTCGGGGCTCCAGCAACCCGTTAAGTTTTCCTTTTACCCCCGAAGGGGTAGGCAGAGGTGCACATTACGGCACTTAATGCCACTGTACAATGTAACGCCCACTTTTCGCTATTTATGTTATGAGTCCCATGTATTAGGGGGTGAGCCTATTATCTACCATATAAAAACGAAAAATATTCAATCTATTTATTATTTAATTTTTTCTTCGCAGTACACAATTTTGTCCACCCAAAGGTTGTCTGGTGGAAATAACTATTAGTGATAAGACCGCCTTTGTACCCATTTTTTTCAAATTTATGTTTGTTATTTTTTCTGTATGTATCTACTATGTTATTAATGGTGTACAATGAAGATTATTCTATTGTATTCTATTGATGTCCAAGCGTACGGCGCATCACATTCCGCGCGCGCATCAGATAGCCATCAGACCACCACGGATGGGTCCAACCCAATAGGGCTGATGCCGATTCGGAGCCGCGAAAAACTTAACGAGTTACCAGGGCTACGGCTCAAAGTGCAGAAGTAGGAACAGGGTTGTTTTTAGTCAGTAAGAGTCTGACACTCCCTCCCGCTTCACCCAGGCGGGAGAAGTAATTGGACGATTTCCCCCCCCCCCCCCTTAAAAATAAATTCTAATCTATTGATACTCCTATATAATTTCATTACCTAGGCACTACTAGTTACTACAGACTAAATTACCAATGTACGCTTACCAGCTGTATGCCATGTTGTTCCGCTTGTCAGTTTAGCTCGCTCCAGCAGCACGGCGTTCACTCCTCGTTTTGTAAGCTGGTACAACGTATTACATCCTGCTATACCACCGCCTAAAACATTAAAATTGTATGAAATATAGCTTCTGCCAGCGGCTTCGCCTGCTTTCTCAGGGGTTAAAAGTAGCCTATATGTTACTGCAGACCATAATCTACCTCTGTATCAAATTTCAACCTGGTCCCTTCAGTCGTTTTGATGTGACTTAGTAATAAACATACACACATATTTTTACATTTATAATATTAGGTCAAGCTAATTTCAACCATCGGCCCTACAGTTACAGCGTAACGTCCATTGCGGGCAACCTAACATTCGGCAAACTTAGGTACCTACCTTTATTTGCGTTTGGTATAAAAATATCACAGAAGTTCACAATAATTAGGTAAATACGCCAAGAACCTTTTTGAAAATTTCTACGTAAACAATAACTTAACACACTCGAATTAGTTTAGTACAATTGACTCGACTTTTGTAATCAGTTTTACACTCCTGCATGAACACATAAACTGCTAAACCGATTGCTTTGAATTTTTGCAGACGTAAAGTTAGAAGTCTGGATTAAATAATAGGCTACTTTTTATCCCGGAAAAATTGATATTCTCGAGGGAAAACTAAATTATTGGTATAGATGGCGCTGTGTGTATTGGTATATGTCACATAGGCTACTTTTTATCCTTTTGTGACGCGAGCGAAGCCGCGGGTAAAAGCTAGTATAGAATATATTATAGTACTTGTGCAACACTATAGGAGCAAAAATGAGTAGATTTAAACATTTAAACTTACCGATAATCACGACATCAGCCGACGACACAACTTCTTGTTGAGTAGCCAAAAACCGTTTTTCATGTCGAATATTTTTCAAATAACTCGTGACTTTATTCCTAATTGCACTATCTCGAACTACTTTGAACATTTTTACCCTTATTACTATAAAATACTAATATGTCTGAGCGATTACAGTGTACATTGACGAATGTTTAAATGTTGACTCGTTATGATACGAATTTATCTTTTCAAGTTATCAAAGTTCATGTTATTCTGCCATACCGATGAGATATCTTGATTGTTTTGTTGTTTTAAAATGAGAGTGAACTCACCCCGTATGTCTTATTTTACAAGCGGACGCGTTAATGGGCGATGGTGTGTGAAACAACACAACTGGCAAAATATTTTATTGTGAAATTATGTGGTCGTCGCTTACATAATAATTATTCTATATTATGTGCCAGCTGCGCCGTGTTCCCATGGGGTACAAAGCAGCATACGTGTTAATTTAGTCCATAATCTATCCAGGAGGTTTCAAATTTCATTCTGATTCCTTCACCCGTCAATGAGTAACAAACACACTTATAAGCTCACAAATTTTCGCATTTCTAATATTAGTAAGATGGCTATAAGCTTGATCTTTAAACGATTAAACAACTTGTCTTTAGAATTAAGTTCTTAAACGAGATTTAAACTGTCAAACACCAAGCGGTCACCGGTGACCGCGACCTATTGTTCTTTAATTGTGTCTATAAAACCGGTACTCGACGAGTTAATCCGCTATATAAGTTGCGATGATATGATACAAACAAGCACCAAGAACAGACTAATACGCAATTTCAATCTTTCAAAATCTTCTTTTTGTATCGGCAATACATTAACAAATATATAGATATATATAACCTACCGCATCGAGGTTACAGGTAAAGTCATCCACAATAGAAGATAAATAAGAAATAAAGAAAAAGAAAATAATATCTTTCGTAAACATTTATTTTTATTATTTACATTTATTTATATATTACGAGTCTAAATTATAATGTAGTTGTCTATTAAACTATATAACATTAAGATTCGATTTTTCAATCACCAGTCAATTCTTAACTGTAGAAAGTATGGAAGAATTGTCAAATATTCAAAGTCATTCCTCAGTTAAAATTGATCTGACGTTGGAAAAATCGACCCTAAATACATTAAATACTTGTTTATTTCTCTGAATAATCTCCGTTTAAAAGCGTGATTGGTGTGTTAAATGAATTTGGTCTTTATCAAGCTATAAACACAGCCTCTTTTCAAACATCGAGTAGCATGCCATCTCATTCCTTATTTCTATAATATTAAAATACGATCTTATATTCCTTACACAAGGTTCACTTTACATAATATAATTTTGAATACAAGTATTTTTAAATGCTTTACATAAAAGTTTACATTGCTTGTGTTATTCATCATAATAATAATATTATGTACTGTGTGCAAGTCTTAGATAAAATATTTATTTATTTATCGATAAAATGGAATACACGATTACTTATTTAGTATAAAAATAGATTAACTCAACAGTCAAGCATATTATATATCTTAGTAGGTACAATATTATAATACACAATTTTAATTGTTAAACGACATTAACAGTTTGAATGCACCGATATGAGACATAATAGAAAATACAATATGTCTCGCGTGGATCCACGTTTAGACACACGACGGGTTAAACAACATCTTTTTAAATTAAAATAAATGTTTTTTTTATGGCATAAGCCGGTCAACGAGCAGACGGATCACCTGATGGAAAGCAATCGGCGTCGCCCATGGACACCTGGAACACCAGAGGCGTTACAAGTGCGTTACCGGTCTTATGGGGATTAGGAGTTTGAGGATCGTTGGGGATTCAGGGATTGGGGAGATTGGGGAAGGAGAGAGTGATTGGGCCTCCGGTAACCTCACTCACACGACGACACACAACGCAAGCGTTGCTTCACGTCGGTTTTCTGTGAGTCGGTATCACTCCGGTCGAGCCGGCCCATTCGTGCCGAAGTATGGCTCTCCCACACTTGTAATAGTTAGTTGCTTAGTTCAATGTATAGTCAAATTATTTGGTATGCAGGTAAGCAAAATTAGATTGATTCATTACAGAGACAGTAACCATTGTTTGGCTACTGAGCCGACCTATGGCTACAAAATGTATACTTATTGGTGAAAAAAACATAAAATAGTGTATTAGACAAAATTTTATTTTAATGTCCCTCTGGTAGATTATTTTAAAACATTAGACACGTAGTTTTTCTTTTCTTCCAAAATTAAATACTTTCGACGATATATTGATTTGAAATATCGTATGACGTCACGATTTACTACATTTTATAGGGTAGCGTGAAGTAACGACCTCCTAAACTTAACTCCGTTTTATCTAAGTATTGTTTTCCTTTACGACAAAATAAAAAAAAACATGTGTCTAATATTTTATAATTATCTAACTGACGGACTAATTACATTTATAATTTTCATACTGTCTACTGCCCTATAAAGCAGAACATAAAGACTGTCTTCGTACTAAAACATTTATTATTTACCTGCATACTAAATAAAATAACTAAATAAATTGTGTTTTCTAATGGGATCAAGGCGTGAGTTTACGTACACAATAATATAATCAAGAATAACATGATATTACGCCTTTTTATCCCCGAATGGGTAGGCAGAGGTGCACATTACGACACTTAATACCACTGAACAATGTAACAGCCACTTTTCACTATTTATGTTATGTTATGAGTCCCATGTAAGGGGGTGACCCTATTGCCATATACCGGGCATAATTCCAGACTCCATGCTACTACTAACATTTTTTTTTAAAACCCATTAATACTTTGCCCGACCCAGGAATCGAACCCGAGACCCCATACCCGGCAGTCGCACTTGCAACTACTCGGCCAAGGCGGCATAATCAAGAATAAATTTATATAAATAGTATTTATAGACTAAATATTGGTTGACGTAATGATTTATATAACAAATATCAGCTAAATACCTATATTTTATATCTTATACATATACTATTATATAAAGCTGAAGTGTTTGTTTGTTTGTGTGAACGCGCTAATCTCCAGAACTAGAGGACCGATTTGAATAATTCTTTTTATGTTGGATAGTGCATTTATTCAGAAAGGCTATAGGCTATAAAATATCACACTACGACCAATAGGAGCCGAGCAGACCGTGTGAAATCGCGCGGGAGTTGCTAATAACGTATATATAGTCAAGTCTTTGTGTGCAAGACAGACAAACCTTGTTTACAATTTATGATAAGCAATAAAAAAGCTGATAAAATACAAATTATATTTACTATATTATAGTGTAAACCGCCAATCATTGATAAATACTTTGACATTCAAATCTTTATTTCATAAGTATTAAAGGTTATGATTGATGACAAATAAAGTGACCACAAACTGGATAGTAGAAAAAAAACACTTAACGAAGTTTAATTAATATCTACATTTATTATTATGTTTTCGGCTTACTCACGTAATTATTTGACGAGGAACTCGACTAGTAGAGTAGTCGCCGCGTAGCGTGTCGCGAAATGCTGCTCATGAATATGAGCCTCTAGTATGGCTTGAAACTAGTCGAGTTCCTCGTCAAATAATTACATGAGTAAGCCGAAAACATAAAAATATATTTAGTATGTCTCACGAAAGTTATAATACAAATATCTACATTGATAATTGGGTAAAGTTAAGTTAAGTTAAGTGGGTTTATTACATACTAGCTACTTCACTCATTCTGCTCGGCGTCTATTGATCGTAGTGTGATATTTTATAGCCTAGCCTTCCTCGATAAATGGACTATCCAACACAAAAACAATTTTTCAAATCGGGTCAGTAGTTCTTGACATTAGCGCATTCATACAAACAATTGAGCTTTATACGTGGTGTAAACAGGTATGACCTCTGAGGTCTTAGTACACGTTTAACCTCTTGACTGCCGGTATATGAGACACAATAGGAAACACATTGCGTCTCGCATAGATACACGTTCTGGCATACCATGGGTTAAAGTAATCGAAACGAGTACATGTTCAGCGCTCTGATTGGCCGGCGCCAATGAAGCAACCAATCAGAGCGCCGAACGCGTACTGGTTACGATTACTTTAAACGTAAAAGAAACTCGTATTAAGGCCTCGGAACGCACCCAATCGCTGACAGGACGATAGATGGACTGATGGTAAAACACAAGTTTAATGTTTAAAAAAGTTTTTTTTTCAACTTATATGTAATAAATAGTTGTAATCTACCGCTCAAGGCTAATGTTGCATGAATAACAACGTAAACAAACCATTGAAACTGTTAAATCTATATTTCATATACATAACATCGAATGTATGATTATTAATATACAATTATAGTTATTTGATCTCACGAGAGCGGTTGAGCCGTAGTTGTAGTGCGTATAGATACGCGCACTTGTATGCGTAACTCGCAGCAATCTCATTCATTGTCATGCCGGCCGAAACTGAGCGTTCCCGAGCGTACGCAAACAAAGACAATGTGCGTGTACAATACATTTACCCACACAATTATGTTGCACCCGCGCTCGTTAGATAAAACATCTATACAATTTTATTAATCGCTAAAATTTAAAACTACAATAACAACATTAAACGTGTATCTATAATTATGGACTTTGCTTTATTTTCGATTTCTCATATTATTATAAGTTGAATCATGCAATATCTAAGACACATATTTTCTTTTCACATAAATACTTAAAGACCTAATTATATACGTTTTTATGTTCTATATAAGCATACCTATTTATAAAGTAAAAATATTTGGCAATATTTTAATATTTTTCCTTGATGTCAAGTTTTAGTTAATCGGCTTCTGGTTATAATAAGATGAAACCCAATCAACGTAAGAGAGATAATATTATTGACAACTTGTGCATAATATCTTAGGAAACAGTTATTTATAAAACAGTATGTTATGAACCAATACTTACACAACAATGAATCGTATTGCATGCTCGTTATTAAACCGATTTGAAAGGTTATTCACTCTGGTTGATAAGGTGTATTTTTGTGTGCATAACAATAATATGTGTGCTGTTAATTATATACCATATTATTATGATCTATCGTAGTTCAATGAAAATACGAATCTATTTGCCTATTCGTCAATATACTGATTTTGTAAGTTACCAACACTGGTCGATAACTGTTTATTTCGTGTGCATGACATTTTAAAAGTAATTGCTTATACACCATACACAGTTCAATGAAAACACGACTCTATGGGTACGCGCATCAATATACAGTTTTGAGAGTTACGAGCACTGGTTGTAAGGTCCATTTTGATTTCTCAGACAGACAGATGGCTGGCGTAGAAGTAGAAGTCCTATGGCGAGGACTAACGACCCGGGGGTCAAGAGAAAGTAGTTACACCATACACAGGTCATTGAAAACACGACTTTAAACGCACGTTCGTTGATAAACTGATTTGAAAGTTACCAGCAATGGTCGTAAGGTCCATTATGACTTCTCAGACAGATAGATGGCTGTCGTAGAAGTAGAGGTCCTCGTTTCATACATGGTGTGGGCTGGCGACCCGGGGCGGAGTGAGTCCGAGGCGATGTTGCCTGGCCGCATGGTCTCCCGCAGCGGCGGCCGCGGCAGCTTCCAGTTGCGCCCGGATTGCGACCAGCTCTCTAGTTCGCTGGTAGATAGGGTCCTGTGGGAGAAAGATATTTGATATGTCAATAGATTAGATTATCATTTGACCATAGTTTTATGTGTAAAAGGTTTACTCGTTTATGAAAGATAATTTTAGGTGTGTAAAAGTGATTTATCATTGCGCAATAAATGCGCAAAAAATATAGTGACCGTAATCTGAAGGAGGTATTCACTTAGCCGAAGGTAGATATAGATTTAAAAAGAAAAATCAAACTTCCTAAGGAGATTTTATAATTGCATTCATTAGTTCGGCTCTTTAAAAAATGACCGCTGTTTGCTTCAACCAATTAGGACGAACTAGGTCCGATATAGACAAAACCAAGGGTCTCTCAACTTATTTCAGTAACACAATAAAACCGAACAAACTGACTTTGTAGCTTTTACCTTTACTTTCAGAGACTAAAATCCATAAAAAAAGCTACATACCTGCTGCCTCATGGTGGGATTCCATCGACAGTACAACGCTTTCCACAGTTTGATGACACGGAGCGAGGCGACCGGTACTAGCACGACTTGTGGCCGAGAATAGGGGGAGGGGGGAGAACTGGCTCCGAATGATGATGGACCCCAGTAGAGAGGGTTCAGGTACAAGTCCTGGCGGCTGTTTATGTATGACCAGAGGGATACTGTCTTTGTTTTCACTTCTGTAAAGAAGAAAGATAAATTAAGTATCTATCTAAATAATAAAATAATATTCAAACTAGACTATATAGATTACAAAGATGGCGGCACGGTATGCGCAATAGCTAGGCAATCGGCTGCTGTGCAACGTGTCGGGGATTTGATTCCAGTGAAAAAAACAATTCTGTTAAACTCCACAAATTGTTGGGTTTGAGTAAAATGTGAATTTGTATGTTCGTAAATGCACCCATGACACAGGATAAAACGCAAGTATCGAGGCCACGTAAAAACATTGCTCTATTCAGACTTGCATGATGCATTTCGCTCTAAACAGTTTTCAGTCATGAGAAAATGGGCAAGAGTTACACTCGGAAAATGTTGCTTTAAGTATAAATTAATTAAAATTATCTACTCACCCTCCTTGACCCGTTCCCTCTCAGTATTAAACAGGAAGGTGCCAAATCTGCAGGAGTATAGATGGTCCACTATGGTGATGAGGAGTCTCTCAGTGAACTCGAAGGCGGTTGGGAACTGTTGCTGGAGCTGCCAGACACAGTCCACCCACTGCACGAACACTGGGGACCTGTCTGCGTCCGAGTGACGCTCGTCTCCGTGCCCTATGCGCTGTAAAGAGTATAAATAATTAGTTTTTAACCCAACTTCTTTAGATATATAGTTAAATGAAGTTTCATGGAGTTTCTTGCTCGTTCTTCTCCATTCGAATCTACATTTTGGAATGAGCACCTAGCTTCACCTAATTTCACTGACGGACTGACTGACAGACTATTATTTATTTTGTATTTGTTGACGTTTAAATAGTACCAAACTATGGTTTAATTGAAATAAATGCTTTGACTTTAACTTTAAATGAAATAAGACTGGATGCATCAATAGAGATGTTTTAGTTTATGAAGATACAAAAACATCAGGCCTTTTATTCCCGAAGGGATAGGCAGAGGTGCACATTATGCCACTTAATGTCACTGTACAATGTAACATCCACTTTTAACTATTTATGTTATGAGTGTAATAAATGAGCCTATTGCCATATACCTGGCGCAATTAGGACTCCGTGAAGAAGCAGTAGTAACTGAGAATTAAAAAAAAGTCCGTAATTCTTTGCCCGGCCCGGGAAACGACCCCAAGACCCCTTGCCCGGCAGCCGCACTTGCGTTGCGACCACTCGGACAACGAGGCAGTTTATGAAGATATATTATTTATTTTTAATAATCGTTATTCTATTGTGTCACTTACTGAAGAATTTTGTTTACTAATTAATTGTAAATTCTCGACAATTTACCGTGGAGTTTCCAAAACAAATTTCATAAACTTACATAGAAAAATGTCTGCGGTAAACCGTAGTGCGGTTTAGGCCTTAGAGAATGCTCGCAGGCAGAATACAATGACTTTAAGGCTATAAGATCTTCCTTTGTAAAATATGTATTCTTGCAAATAATTGAATTTGAATTTGAGAATTTTTGTAAAAAACCACGAACAATATAATTTTGAATTTACTAGTTACCTAAAAACAACATACCAACTGAAACTTATGTCCGAAAGACAGCCACTCCTTCTCGATGAGGACCTCGAATCCTCTTAGAGTTCTGTAGTAGGGGTCCAGCATCAACATCGCCAGCGCCGTCAGCTGAGCTGTGCGGTCCCATCCGTCTGAACAGTGAACCAGTACTGATGTTTTGTGATTTTCCACCTGTTGTTAGAAAATATCGTTTTAGAATGTGTGTAGTTTTTGATATCCGTACTAATATTATAAATCGGAAAGTGAGTTTGTTTGTTTCTTTGTTCCGCTTTCACGTCGTAACTACTAAACCGATAGCTTTAAATTTTTGCAGACGTAAAGTTAGAAGTTCAGATTAAATAAAAGGGTACTTTTTATCCCGGAAAAATTTGATACTCCCGAAGGAAAACAAAAGTATTGATTGGTATAGATGGCGCTGTGTATATCGTTATATGTCACAAAGGCTACTTTTTATCCTATTGTGACGCGAGCGAAGCCGCGGGTAAAAGCTAGTCTGCAAATATAATGTAGTAAAGTTTAACTTGGTAAATTTTTACAACCGGACTTTTAATGGTACCTATCTATGATTTCTTTTCCATGCGTCCACATTACTAAGAACTTTTAGTTAAAAATGGCTATAGTGTCAATGCTTACCTTATCAACTATACGGACCGCTCCAGCCAATATGCATTTAATATGTTTCAACCAGCAAGTAGCTTCAATGCCACTGAACCATCTGAAAATGAAATAACAAAATTAACATAACATTCATTTTCGAACCCTTTTGGGAGAGCCATGCTCGGGCACGAATGGGGCGGCTGGATCGGAATGATACCACGGCCTCATAGAAAACCGACGTGAAATAAGGCTGGCGTTATGTTCCGTCTGGTGAGTGAGGGTACCAGAGGCCCAACTACCCCCCCCCCTTTCCACAATCTCTGAATTCCCCAACATTCCTCAATTCCTAATCCCCAAAAGGCCGGGAACGCACTCGTAACGCCTCTGGTGTTCCAGGTGTGTTCCCAGATTGCTTACCATCAGGTGATCAGTCTGCTTGTTTACCGGCTTATCCCATAAAAAACCCTAAATACTTAACTACGGGTTGAATTGTAAAAAAAACATCAACAGACAGGGGTTTTATTCAAGAGTCCTACTAGCGATGATCAGACCAACAAAACAGGAATCAAATCAATAAAAAACTGCATACTTTAATCTCTGCCAAATCAATAATTACGACGTACTCAATCGTAGACCACATCATCGCTTACCACCAGGCGAGATAGTGGTCAAACGTCGACCCATCAAATTTATAAATAAATAAAAAAAAACCAATCTGCTGAACATTATATCCTGTTTAAAGCATGGGTAACCTCATTCCCATACCCAAAAAAAATCATACAAGAATATTAGCAAATAAAAAAAACAATATCGGTCACTCACCTAGTTTGATCTATTTGTGGGAAGCACAACTCTTTGAGTTTACGCAAACTCTCGCGCATGACGTGTATGTTGTGTATATCTAAGAACACAAGGTCGGCATTCTGGTACGCATCCTCTGATTCATATCTGTGAAATATTTGTTTATTATTATTCATCTATGTAGGTGTTTTTTAAAGTGATTAATTTTGTAACATCCTGTTTTTTGGATATTTTTCCTGTAGGCAAAATCCAATATAGATTTTTCTTTAATATGGGGAAGAGAGATCTCTATTTTTCGGAAAATAAATCGAATTCCTACTTCTTCCCCTGAATCAAAGCAAAATATTGTTTTTTGCATGAAAGGAAAAAACTAAATATTTATCGAAATCGGGTTAGTAATTTTGTGGACAAAACTGTAAGTAACATTTTTGTGTAACAGTTATTACAGTACCCGCCCCGGCTTCGCAAGGGTGCAACAGGCATTTATTAAGAATCACTCCATCTATTAAAAAACAGCATCAAAATCCGTTGCGTAGTTTCAAAGATCTTAAAAGCTTACATAGGAACAGACAGACGGCGGATAACGACTTTGTTTTATACTAAGTATGTAGTACCTAATAGTGAAATGATATCAACAAACATTCTCCAAAAATAAGAGGAAGATCTCAATTTATCGACATAGTTTTTAGGAGATGTGGTCTCCCATATACTGATACCTAAAATCTACGTAAGATTTCTGGAATAAAATAAACTACAGCAGGTGCAAAAAGTAACTCACCCTCCTCCCTTAGCTTTATTGGCAACAGCATTGGCAGTAGGTCGGGCGTCCATGATGAACAGCTTGTGCGCTTGCGCATTGGCATCCATTATCAACTGTATGTAACGCTCGTCTTCGCGACTGCGTTTACCACTTACCTATAAAAAGTTTATAACTTTATTAACCTCTTGAATGTCGGTAATTAAGACACAAGAATGCCACAGGCATTCTTACAAGCTTGCAAGATTTAGGCCTTTACAATCTTTAGGCGACGCAGTGAGAACATGGTGTTTACGACACCCAACATCTAGTCAAATAAGTTTACAAGAATATAACATAACATAACATCACGCCTTTTATCACCGAAGGGGTAGGCAGAGGTGCACATTATGCCACTGTACAATGTAACACCCACATTTCACTATTTATGTTATGAGTCCCATGTAATATGGGGTGAGCCTATTGCCATATACCGGGCACAATTCCAGGCTCCGTGCTACTACTGAGAATTTTTTATAAAAACCCAGTAATATTTTTTTACAAGAATATTTACTTATAAAATAAACTAGTAACCTAATTTCGGTTTGTTTATTCATTGTATTATGAATTATGATACATTTTATTCTCACAACGAAATGACACTTATAATGACTGTACATAGGAATCCCCCAAGAAAGACCTTAGTAAATCCCATAGAAGAAATGATATCATATACCCAAATAAATTGAAGGAAGTAATATAATAAAACAAATACATACTTCGATAATACTAGTAAGTTAAAGGGAAAAACATTTTGTTTCTGTTGAGTTAATGCATGTTTTTATTTAATTAAAATATATAACATAACATCACGCCTTTTATTTTTCACTTTAATATTACGGCAATTAATGCCACTGTACAATGTACCACCCACTTTTCACTATTGATGTTATCAGTCCCATGGGACGAGGGACATGGGGTGAGCCCATTGTCATATACCGGGCATAAATCCAGACTCCTTTCTACTATTGAGATTTTTTTTTAAAACCCAATGTTACTTTGCTCGACCCAGGAATCGAACTCGGCCAACCCTTACTTCCCTGACTGAGGTTAGCGGAGGATTTTTCTTTAACAGTTCTATTTCTATTGGTAGTAAAATTCTTAAAAATAATATTAGTCTAAGAGGTTCACTCACCCCTACTAAAGGTTGGCTGCACCGTGTAATAGTGGCCTGTGAACTAGGATGTATCCATGCAAGCACTGGTATTCTTCCTCGAGACCTGAACGTGGCTACGGAGCGCAGTAAGTCATCGTTAGCGGCTGCTGGCACTGCCCATATAGATGGGTAACTGTCGCAAACTTCATACTTGTCATTTATGCGAGTTATACGCCACATGTCGTTATTTACACCCTGGTGAAAAAAGATAAGTTTTTTTTTAACCCATTGAAAGTAGTCTCTAATCATTGGAAATAAGGTCTATAATGTAGTTAGTGGAGAGCAGTAAACCGGTGACCGCTTGGGGATATATGGGTTAAGGATTCACTTGTATTGGTAGTCACATGTAGAGTTGATTAAGTATTGCAAGTATTGGATAGTCTTCAACTGTAGCTGTACTCCATCAATAATAGGTACAAATTAATAAACCTGGCAAATCTACAAACTACAAATAGCACACTTCATTACTATCTGCCTCATTGGAGAATGAAATATCTGACGTTAAATTATATAAGAAGTAAAAAGGTCAAGATAAAGTATAGGTATTAGTATTATTTGAACTTACCATGCGCCTAAGCTCTGCAATAGGCTCATACACATGCCATCCATCTTCGGAGAAACTCTCTGAATAACTAAACGCAAATAAAGGCAGTCTATGCGACAGTGGAAATGCTAATTGCTGCAGTTTCTCGAATATTCCACGTCGAGAGTGATTCTCTTGTTTGTGTGCAAACCTTAAATTTCTCATATCCTGTAATATTAATACTTAAACATTATAATTTGCGTATAAAATAATATAATATAATAACTTTATTCACCAAATAAAAGAAGTTATACAGTTTAAAACATATGAGCCAGTAACAGATTTCATATATGTATACAGTAATAATTTACTAATACATATAACAAGTCCAACTGCTTATTAAGAACACTCTTATTAGAATTAGAATCTGTCTTAATAGGTTGATAATCCCCTAAATTTGTTCATACAAAGTAGTCTCTAAATTTCGGAAATTATGTCTTTAATGGAGCTAGAGCTTGGGGATTGAACAGTTAATAAGAATGTGTGAAAGCCTCCATAGTCTAGAATGATGTTAATTACTTTAATCATATTTTTTTTATTTAACATAATGAACAACATCTTTGATGATTCACTAAAATAAAAACACCTTTGACAGTACAAATTTGATGATGCAAATGAATGGAATGGATTAAACCTGGAGAGCAAAACACCCTAAACCTAGGCAAACACCACTAGGACCATTAATTTTTTTGACGCAGCTGACACTATGAGTATGCTTGTTTCGTGGTGCTTGTGTAACAGGGCGCTCTAAGCACTTGCCTAGTTATGTTTGCCTTAGGGACAATATAGCAATTGATACCTTACAAGGTAATGTGCTGGAATTCAGGAAGTGTATAAGATTATTCATAATAGTTGCTAATTACCTTGCAAAATATTTCAATGCCATATGAATTTTCACCTTTTGATGATGCTCCCCCAACCTTTTCAATTCGAGAAACCTGAAAACATTGAATCAATTAGTGATAATCAACAAATATTAGACACAAAATAATAATAATAAGTAGGTCATCAAATATTTAAAATCTTGTACATTTGATTTTATTATGTTTTAGTGTCACCATTACTGGGTCTTCAGTTTGAATTAAAGAGTATGTATAACATGCATGTTATACATACTTACTCATACACTTATTGTGTTATAATTTATAACTAGGACAAATAATTTACTTCTATCAAAATTGCTGTAAAATTAAATATTACAGATATTACTCTAACTTTGTCAGAAAGGTAAACAAATATACGGAATAAGTTATTGTTTAACTTATATAAAGAAATAACTTACAACACCAAGAGGCACGCTAAGAGTACTCTGTAACGCAGCGGTGTCAGTCGGTCTGAAGTGTAACTGATAATTCGTCACTTTTAGTACTCCTCTAGACGGACCACTATATGGACATAAATAAGTCACATCTCGGGCTAAACTCATCACCTTCTCACCATCTAAGAGTTGAATATCTCCCAGTACATGTGGCTGTAAATAAAATTGAAATTATAACAAGGACAACTCAAGTGAAAACTAAGTTTTAGTATGTATTGATACCAGCCTTAGACAATTCCTGCAGCCTATGATTATGGATACAGTTGATAAATAAGCAAATATGAATAGATCTATTCGCACTCATTGCGATAGAGGAAGAACAAGAAAAAGTTTGCTCCACAAATACAAGTCACACACAGCAGTGACTAATCGCTAGCTTAAACTAAGTCACATCACAGGAAGCAGGGAAGCGGCTGTTATAAAATTCAATAAGAATAAATTAATCCTTTTAGGAAACTTACGGAGTCTTGTCCGTGTTTAGAATTCAATGAACTCGATTTTGAGTCTGAGTCCAATGAATCGGAACTCGCGTTCTTTGATAACGAAAAGTCTGAATTCAATAATTCAGAACTGTTGTGTTTGTCCATTGTTGACGATTGTTTATCCTGGTTAGAGTAAGTAAATTAGATTTTAATTCCTAATCAGAACTTCAACTTCTCCTTGGCAAAACATAAAATTATCAAAATAATGACAGTATTTCCTCCACCAAGTTCTGACGTCAGATTGAATGAATGAGTCAATGAATGTAAAGTCTTGTCAAAAAAAAATAATTTACAAAATCGTTTTATAGCAAATATGGTAAAATACAAATATTTGAGAAACAAATACAATATAAACCCCGAGTTTATTATTATTCACCGAGATTTTTTAATTAAAGGAAACCAGGTCAGTGTTACTAGATATTAATTAAATTTTACCAATTTTGCTCTATATCTCAAGTTCTTGTCTATGAAAAACAAGGTTTCCGGGACAGCAGATAATTATGATAAGCAAAGTGCGGTTTCATCAATAATTTTTATTATTGACCCAACAAGTTATTTGTTACTATAGCAGTAAATTTCTACTAAAACTAGGAACTCAGTAGAAGTTGACGACTAAAAGTATTCGAGATTTTAATCATGAAGTTCCCAGAAAGTGTGAAACTTACTACTTATTTAGCTTATAAACACTCTGAAATTATAGAACCACAAAGAAAAATCAAATCAGAAATATTTGATTGGGACTCGAACATTCCAAAATCACTAGTTTCTATCTGTATTGAGAAGTTAGCTGAAAATTGGATGGGTATGTATTTTAAACCTACACAAGCCTCACCAAATGTATCTTACAGTGCATTTCAAGCTATAGACGATAGCCAAATATTATTCTGATAGAACTTGTTGCTTGTTATTGTGGTAAACTATTATGTAACTAATGTTATGTTGCAGGTTACCCGAAATTAGAGCAACTAATTGCGAAAGATCGTGAACTTTTCCTGCAAATCTTGGACACCGATGTTCCTCTTCAGATTTTAGTGGATAACATCAAAAGTGATATCTTCTGGAAAAGATGCTATCACTCTAAATTCTCCGATTCACCTCTATTGGCTGATGGTAAAAAATGGATAAATGCTTTCATGGAACGTCATTTTGCTGATATCTTAGAAAATACAAATCCTAGACAATATGATCCAGAAAAGGTAAGTATAAAAAACAATGTATTGTGTTTACTAAGAGATCTATGCACAGAAAATGTGCCTTTGGATACAGGATTACCACATGGATAACTTTCAAAATAATATTATTATTAATTCCTACCTAGATTACAACTTTAGTGAAGCTCTGTGGACCATACATACAAAAATTATCAATTCGTAGTTTGATACCAACTGATATTCCTGTTCAAAGAATGGCTTCTCCAGAATTAGCTCATTTAGTGACAAATCAAAAGCAAAACGGAAATAAACAGCAATCCAAAGATAATGAAGTAATCTGTAGAGGTAAGATCAAAGGAATGCCTTTCTTGTATCCGTCATGATAATAATTTAATTATTTCTATTATTTCACAACTTTTTCAGATCACATATCTTTACATGCTGCTTTGGGAAGTTTGTCTAACTTAGTTGAATTACATATAACTTATCAGTTGCGGTCTATTGGGGTTCAGTACCGTCCTGATCAATTCAATTTACTAATAACGATGCTAAAAATTTGGCTCGTGGTCTGGAAAAATGTGCCCAACTGAAGATTTTAAGGTTTTTATTTATCAATACGTTGTATTATTATATTATTTATTTTAGTTCATGATTATTTTAAAAATATTAACAACTTTTTTTATTCTAGAATTACAAGGACTGATATGAATTGTCAACGAGTAAAGTACATTCTGCGAGGTCTTTCGGAAAACTTAAAGCTAGAAGTGTTGGATTTCAGTCATTGTAAAATCGGTGATGATGGTGCTTCGTCCATTGGAAAATTTATAATGAGACGTGACGCTTTGCGAACTGTTATTTTGGCAGATAACATATTCGGTAGTAAACAAATTAATTGGTTTGACACAAATACCTTCAGTTAAGAAGATTCTTCGCAAGCAAGATAGCTATCTAAAAACCGCATATTTACAGTGAAACGTATTGTTATAGGTCCTTCTGGTATTGAGAGTATATCACATGCTCTGAACCACTCCGGTTGCGGAGTTCGAACCCTTGACTTACGACTAAATACAAAACTTGGATCTGAAGGAATTGCTCACATAGCTGTATCAATTGCAAGAGGGTGCAATTTAACAAGGTTGCAAACAGCTACCTTAAACTTATAATACAAAATACTTTTTTATTTAAGCTCTTTAATTGTACAGCCTTTTATATTACAGTTTAAATATATCGGGTTGTGGAATAACACCAGGTCCTTTATTGAAATCACCAGCCGGAGTGTGGTCAACTACAAGTGCAGAAAATCCTCCAACATGTGGTGAATTACTAGCACGAGCAATAGGCTTAGTTAAAACTCCACTTCGTTCACTTGATATAAGTGTAAATAATATTGGCCAGGTATAATTTACTTCACTACTCCGACAACGATCCTTCCAAATACCTAAACTATTATATATTATCTTTTCAGCCAAGTGATAGTACCCTTTCAAATGCTATATGTTTGAGTTATATAGTGGACTTGAATTTGAAGAGATCGGGAATGGGATCTATGGCTAAAGCAGTAGCAGAATCAGCGGCTGCTGCTCAAAGATTGAGAAGAGAAGCTGAAAAAGGAATAAGATTCAGACGAAGCGCGGGCAAACTTGTACAAGCGAGTCGAGTTGCAAAAGGAATGAATATAGGTCAGTACTTTTAAAAGTAGTTAATTTCAATATTTTATTACGTATAAACGTTTTCTTACTGCCAAAAAATCATTCATTCAATCAAATATGAAACTTCATTATAATCTCTATAACTAGGTTTTTACATAGCACAAGAACAAATGAAATTGTCTTTATAAACAAATTGTTTGATAATTTATAATATGTAAGGTGTTAAAAAATATATTTTTTTGTTAGATACGGATCCACTGTTATTAGCTCAACAACTATCTGCTAGACCTTCAATAGTATCCGTAGCATCAGAAGAAGGAATGCATAGTATTCAAACTCAGCCATTACCATCTGATTTTGGTTTTATTCCGACATTTAAGGTACGTTTAATTAATAATATATTTCCTTACAATGTATTGGAGTAAATGTTTAATTAATACAAAAATTACGCTTTCAGAGTCCACTACCGTCATCACGATGCTCATCCATTACTGGTCCTCCAACTTCTCGAAGATCTAGTCACCACGCCATACTGGAACCCGTCAAAGTATATTTTTTATATCTATGTAATCTGTCAATTTTGGAATTTAAATTAGATTTATTTTTGCTCAACAAAACGTATATTTTGTTTTAGGAAGTTCGTCGGACAGCTCTTGTTCGTCGTGGTTCAGATGGATCTCTGTTACAACCACGCAGTGCTAATACTCAAAGGCATATTAAAATATTTGTTTCTTAATTCTGCAAACATAATAAACACGTATTTATTGAGAAACTTGTTTTCTTATTTTTCCTGCAAATGATGGAATTTATTAAATCCTGGCAACATTATCCATAGAGAAACTGCAAAAAAGCACTATTATTTTTCGGACTTCCGTCCGTCACTCGCTCAGTGCAATGTAGCCAGTCTTTCGAAATGTCATGTCAGTCAGCCATGTTTATTTCTATAGAATGTGTTTTGAAATGGTGGTAGTGATAAAAAACAACATAATAGTGGAAATATTTTCGTAATTTTACTTGTTATCAACTGTAGTGTTTTAGTGAAGCTTCAATGTGTTTTTTTGTGTAAGTGTGGATACTATTGCCGTGAAAATGAATTGGGGTATTGAGCTTTGGGTAAGTGACTACGACATTATAATTCCATGTCGGTTGTTCAGCAAATTGTAAATTGTATAGCTGCTGTTGTTATGGGTAAACGTGCATAGTATATGCACTGGATCACTGCGGTATTTAATGATCTAACAAATTCAAGTAGTACGATAATTATGTAAAGCAGAAGATGTAATGTTTTATTAGATTTTTGGGAGTAGAAAGTTTAGTCATAGTTTGTTTGGAGTTCGCAAATAAATTTTGCGAAAAACAGCGGTGCATTTTTGACCATGAGATAAGCGGAATGTGGATTCTAACTGTTGTAATTTTTCCACAATTTTATTAAAGATACCACAGACATATAGGTAATATCCAGTAGATTGTTCACCAACTTTCTACAAGTGCATATGAGTTCGAGTTTAAAATACATTCACATTTAAGTAGACTGTGGAGGACCATTACTTATTACACATTCCATTTTGGTGGCATCAAAAAGGTCTATGAAAAAAGTACTGATGATAGAGTATAGGATTCTTTACATTATTGTACACCTAACAATTTAAGATGCAGAGCAATTAGTTCTATTTTCAAACTAGTCAAACTAGACTGTTTAATTAAATTTCCAAGTCAGTCTTATTAGAAAAAGAAACTAAGAAAATCTCTGAAATTCAGACAGACTTACTTTCACTCTTAAATATTCTTGAATATACTTTTGGAATAAAAAAAAGAATTTGAATAATGTATACAATGCAATTGAGACAAAAATAAGGTAGAATCAGAAAATCTTTGATTCCAGTAGCAAACTTTTCAAGTAAATACCTGCATTTTTAGTACTCAACTGACACCTGTTTCATTAATTTCATAGTATGAAACATAAAAATTAAAATACACCAAATTTTTCATTTTATGCTTCTGTTTTGTACAATATTTAATTTTAAACCATGCAATTTAAAAAGTGATGTATAAAACATTAGCTTTATATATAAATAACTACCTATTACTAAATTCCAATGAATATTCTAATTTCTAAGCTTTCATTTGATTTTCTAAACTCCAATTTTAATTCTAAAATACCAGTGCTAGGAATTATTAATATGTATTATATCTATCAGTGTTACTGGCGTTTTAGAAAAACATTCTAAATTTGAATTCTATAAAATAGAATATAAAAATGCTCTTCAATGCATTGGAGCAATTAATACAACATTATTAGCTAATAGAAATTGTAATCAGTAATTGAACCATTGTCAACACAGGTATCTATTCATAATTATCATAAACATTAACTTGTTTGTGATTCCTATTGATTTTCCTTTGAAATTTAACAATTATCTCTAATGAATCATGTTAGCCACAAAATAAATATTCCACATCATAATTGTAAGCACATACAATTTGTGAACTAAGTACATTAGTGGAATTAAAATTGTGAAGACATGATTATGATTCACAGTGTGTCATCAAGTTATCATAAACACCTTGAGATTCAATGTCAAATTTTGAGGGTATATTCCAGGCTCGTATCTGGGTCAGTGTTTGTATACAGTATATCATTCTGTGCTGTACTTTATATATAAAATATTCTATTATTTAATGTAACTTATTCTGGTTCAAACAAAGGGTAAACTGTAAAATTCCAGAGTCGTTTAAAATGAGTAATTACAGATAAGTAATGACATACTGGCACAAAATGATCATTACACACGAAGAGAACAGTTTAAATTGAAATTTTAAAAGAGCAACAGTTTGTTGGTTTGTTCTGAATTCTGAATCCATCAAGCAAACAATGGGTATTGGTTGGAACATAATGTGCCTACCCAGTACATTGTGTGCTAATTATATCTTTGTTGCTTACATAGCTTTGCAAGCCACCATGCCATCATCAATAATAAAGTTCCCTCCAAAAAACACCACAATTGTCCTATTGACGTATTCATATCATTTGTTAGTTCATAACAATTTCATTCAATAACTTTTCAATGTAAATCACACAGACAGACCTTGCAAAAGAATTGAGCACATTAGGCTTTATCTAGACTTGTGAAAATGAAAAATACAGCTACTTGACTAAATATGCAAACATGTATCAAGGTCAAAAATGTAAAAGTTTTGATTTAGACTTTTTTAAACCACTTGTTTAATGCAAATTGCTAAACAGATGTCTAACGCACCTTTTTCTGCCTAGATTTTATAAAATTTATCGTCGCGAAATGCCGCGGTATCTGGATTTAATAGGTCTAGGATGTCAACTTGCTTTTTAATGGCCTAACCGACCGAGTGTTTGAGTCGCTAATAAATAGCGAAGATTGACATTAGGGTCATCGCACTCTGTACGCGTACAGCAACACTTTGTGTCGCTGATAGTGTATCTATTTGGATCTATAAGTGTGCGAGAGTGGTCAGTGTTGGCAAGCTGCAAGGCCGGTGGCGGCCCGCATTCCGCTCGACTTGCTGCCTAGTTGTGAAATGGTCCATTCGTTGCACCTACCTATCATTATTGAGATGGACTCCTGATGCAGAAAAGATCAGTTTAACATTCTTTTCTCATCACTGCGAAAGTGACTCGCATCTATACTTACGATTAAGAAATTAAGACAAATACTCCCAAGCCAAAACCGAGCCACCTTTAAGGTTAGCGGTAATTAGGCAGTAACGAACTAACCACTTAATATTATTCAATTTAGTAGCTCTTACTTAGAGAAAGTTCTGTGTGTTTAACATAAATGTAAAATTGTTGGAGACTCAAAGCGAGCAGGCTTTGCGAAATAATTTTAAAACAGCAGTATAGCAAAAAAAGTGAAATAGCGATAAATTGACATTACTCGGCAGTCAGTAGCCAGTATCATGTACAATTCAATTACAGTGGCGTCCCTGAACTAGTTCGCTAAGCGTTTTGTAACACGACCTGGATAGCGGCCACAGTCAGATACAACGAACATAAGTACGGTGTAAGCCCAGCCAACAAACAGCTCTGCTGATATTGATTTGAAAATCCGTTGGACGACCTTCTACATCGTCTTACGTTTCTAAAATCCCTAAAAGTAGGCTCTAAGTTATAAGAGAATAAGCTTGCAGACAAATAGAATTCTGGCTTTGAATCCACCGCACAAAATCAAAATTTCAGTTTGTTATTGCATATTTACTTAGTTAGCGAGTCACGTATTCTCCTCGAATGGTATTCTCAAGTCAGAAACTTTCGCCTTTCGGGGTATATTTATCGATAATGTATGCGTTTTCATTTAGATTATGTTATGTCATCGATTCAAAAAGATATTGTAATATGATAATGTTTCTATCATGTTTTGCTGCAATCGTTTGTGTGTGCAAGTGTGGTCTTATGCACCTACCGTAAGAAAGCGGAATAGTTATTACCAAACCATAGACACCGTGTACTAGTAGCAGTAGTACCGAGTTTATGAAATACTGGCTATAAAATTGTCCATAAACAAGATTCAAGTTTTAATCAACTGTGCATTGCTTTGGTGCACCAGTGTCAGTAATGCCCCCTCTTTATCTCCACCAATTACTTATCTGATTAAACGACCTCACACATCAATCAGTACGTTCCCTTCGATTTCAAAGTGCTTTACAGTTACATTGATTACATTCAACCTCATCCACGAAGTACAGCCTACTTTTATGACCGATGATGAAGCAAATCTACATAAATTCTAACAAGTACGGTTATCTTTCTGTAATTGCAGTCTCAAATGTCTATTTTATTGCGGAAGTGTCTTTAAGTAATCTAATTATGCTGTTAAGTATGTAGGTTTTAAGCTCACTAGTGAATGATCAATACTTAGTGGTTGCGGAGCAATGATTTTATGTCATTACGTCCTCGGAAGAAACATTGCGCTTGATTGGCTTCTATTGACACGTAGTTACTAGGGCACCGGGTTGTACCAGCAATCTAAAGTCTCAATAGACGCTAAACAAACATAAGTGTGTACAATAAATGTTTGTAGAGCTGTCGTTGAAGTTATACCGATTGAAGTTTCGATAACTATAAAATTGTCAATCGTTCGGAAATCGTTTAAAGTTATCTCCAGACGGTCTAGACGTCGCAAAAACTCAGACGAACGAATCGTACTGTAGACGTTTTTCATCACAAAATATTTCCTTCGATAAAAACTTATTTTTATACATATCCTTTTAGTAAGAGGAAAATAGGAATGTAAAAACGTTTTTTCTTATCAATTTTTACTGATCATGTGACCTTTAAGCTACGCTATGTGGGTTTAGAAATATCTTTTTCATTTCGGTAATAGGTACTTATACAATAACATCGTATAACGCTACAATTTTTATAAAAAAACAAACAGTAGTTATACTAGGTTTTTCCAAATTCCTCCTATGATTTCAAATGACACGTCTAAAGGACACGACTCTAGCTCCATTTTTTTTTTCGTAAAAAAAACAAAACTTGTTTTCCAATATGGCTCTTCGCTGCGTGCCTTTAAAAATTAAGCGAGTTTCCGATTGTGGGCTGGTCAAAATAAAAAAAAGATGCCTGCCTATTATGGGTTTCTTGCTGAACTCACGATGATGTCATTATAATAATGTACATATTGTTTACTACGACAAAACAACGTATTGTTCGTTATAGAAATAGTTAATGGCACACAATTTTGGGACCATTCATAGCTATAA